TACATTTTAACGAGGTGTCATGTGTGTTTAAAGTTCTTATTCATCACTACATAGCCACAGCTTTTACTGGAGACACAGATGCACTTAATTAGCATATTATAAGGACAGAAGGTTCACCTTATCTGCATTGTTAAACTGTTATGTGTAGGCTTTTTGTTGTGGTTTTAGAGTCTACTATCTTCAGCATATACAAGAATGATTACATTTACATAATCTCAAATGGCTTTCAAGAAAATGTGGATTGTATTTGGGAAGCAGAAGAGTAGGCACTAGACAGTAGCTACATGTCCTTATCATTTGTGGTTCATACTGACTGCTTGATGTGTTTCACTAAACCTCAACCAACAGATTTTTAGATCTGTTAGACACACTAATTTCAGAAAAATTTTGGCTCTGGGCTTCTCTGTCTATTCTTATTATCAACCTGAGCCTACTTCTTCTTCCTTCAGTAGGAAATAGTGGAAAATATTTGTATATTTGACAAGGAATGTTTGGATTATTCAGTGGACACTTTAGAAGCAAAATGGAAGAGTCAAAGAAAATACCTCACATCTCCTATTTATCAATGAATAATGAACTCAGCACAAGGTGCTAAAGGCAAGTAAAGCAACTATTTAATTCCCTCACACCAGATATATCAGGACATCAGGTAGAATTTTAGAATTATGATGCTGACATGAGAATCACTCAAATAACTTGTGAAATAGCTAAGTATTATTTGGAGGTTTTTAATGTGTATCTTACAAAAGATAGCCAATTGGAGGCAATGATGAATGTATAGTTTTATCGTATTTTATAGGACAGGAAAAAGGCTCAGTTAAAAGTACATTTGAGGGCTTCCCTGGTGGCGCAGTGGTTGAGAGTCCGCCTGCTGATGCAGGGGACATGGGTTCGTGCCCTGGTCCGGGAAGATCCCACATGCCGCCGAGTGGCTGGGCCCGTGAGCCATGGCCACTGAGCCTGTGCATCCGGAGCCTGTGCTCTGCAACGGGAGAGGCCACAACAGTGAGAGGCCCGCGCACCACAAAAAGAATAAGTAAATAAAAGTACATTTAAGAAAAATTCTAGATTTGCTAGTTCTCTGCTCAGAAAAAAAAAAAATAGCACTTTCATATTTACTTTATCCTCAGGTGCTAATGCTTACAGGCATTTTTGATACTGGTGTCCAAAACCAAATCAATTCACCTGTTCTGCACACGAAAAGTATTTTCAAAGGAACACACTTATTCACTTGAATACACTTTCTATTTTCTCTAAGTTGAAAAAATTCCTGTAATTCATTAACCAAAAAATTTGAGAATAGGTTCCGAAAATAAAATTCATTGAACAGTTGTTCACTTTCTTTCCCATTGTAAATACTGACTAATTTCTCTAATTACTTCTTCTGGAAGAAAGTGCATTAGGTGTTAAAGTGCTTTGGCACTTTTTAACAGACCTAACTTCCTTTAGGTTACCAAATATCGCTACAATCTGAGTGAAGGGGAGAAGTAGGTATGGGTGGTATATGGGGAATAAATGGGGTGACATAACATTTCTAGATCATAGGATTGCATGGTAAACTGTGAAGAGGACTACCTGAGAAGCATACATGTAATCTTAATAAAAGAAATGTTAGGACTAATACTCCCATTCCCATAATATGCTGAAAAAGAAGGTTTTATATATATTATAATTCATTTATTTATTTCTTAAATTATTCAACAAATCTTGACAGAGTATGATTTCACTGTTGAAAAATAGAGGCAATTGTTTGGAGTACAGATCTATGGTAATTATCTAATCATGAGAACTACAAATTAGATTTGCATCTGCAGAGTGTCTGACACATGGGGATACTGAGATCACTTCTGCCAAGTGAATGCATCCAGACACATAGCTTCAGTAGGCATACTTTCCACTACTACTGTCATGGAAGGGAGCATGAATCTCAAGTTGGGCTGAATTTTAATAGCTGAGTAATTTTTAAATAAATTATACGAGCTGTAGTGCCTTAAGCCCCTCAATCAGATAATATGGATAATAATGGTCCTTGTAGGGTTGGCATGTAGATTTTATGTTAATTTTGCTGCGCCTATCACATATATCATAACAATAATCTTCCGAGATAGGTATTATTTTTTTCCCATTTTATAGTTGAGGAAACTAAGACCAAGAGGCTCAGTAGCCTGCCTATAGTCAAACAAGCGCCTGAGGCAGAATTAAAACACAAGTCCTTCAGGCTCCCAGACCCATGTTAGAGGCAGTATGCCACCTCCATGGATGCTTCACCTGAGGATTTTTATACATCTCAGAGAACATATTTGTCTAAACTTCCAACACCCAGATCTTTTAATTTACAGAATAGTAATATTCAGTAGAAGTAAAACACAGATACCCCATTACATAAAAACCTCAAAAGCGTGACTTTTTAATGATTAGAGCTCAGTTGAAATCAGAGCAAAAATACTCAGCTTGCTTCCAACAGATGGCAACAGAAAATATACTGTAGATCTATGGACTTAGAATTAGTCAGAATTAGTCTTTTTGACCCTAACATATTTATAGTAAGTTGGTTTCCATACATAGACACATAAGAAGATCCATAATAAGAATACATTAAATGAAATTTCTTTGAAAAATGTCAATGTAATTTATACTAAAGAAAAACACTCAGTTGAAACTGTGTAGAATAAGGTGAACAGCCTCCATTAATGCTAACTGAAATTCTCATATTCATGCATAAAATGTACACTTATTATTATTCTACACTTATTCTTTCTACCTCTAAACTGTTAAGTCCACACCAAAGTACTAGCTTTTTAATTTGAGCATTCATGCATGAAAGTTGATAATTTTTCTTGTGATTATATATACAAATTTAATACAGCTGAAATCTCACTCTTTGCAAAACATAAGAGAGCTTCACTGTCATTTAAAAAGAGTGAAAACTGAATCTCCTGGCTTAAGTTAGGAATTTGTTTCAGAAGCTGAACTTTATCATTTCTCAGTGTTTGTCACTTTAAAAACATGCTTTTAACAAATAGGAGCACTAGTACAAGTGGGCAAGATGGCTGATAATTTAACTCCCATAATTAAACAAACAAACAAAATTAAATGAGTGGTATAATTTTCCTATGTCCACACTTACAATGCCATCATATATATGGATACACACATAATTTTATTAAAGTACGTTAGAAATATTTTTTGGCAAGTCTCTAAATACATGAGGCTATGGTATCTTCTTTTTCTTTAAGGATAATTTATAAACACTAAGCTAAGAATTTGCTTCAGTCCATCAAATCAAAACCTGGAATGTTAATTAATTTTAACCTATCTATTATTCTAAACAAAAATAATGCATGATCTTTCCAATAAATAAAATGAATATACGTTACTGCCCCTTATTCACGGACATTAAAAGATGGTGAGTTATTATATATTATTTCTTTGGAGGCAATTAGAAATTACTCCAGTTACAATTAAAAGTCAAAAAAGGCTAAGAACCACTCGTCAAGAGTTTTCACTGCCAAAATATGAATTTTGGTTTAAGAACATCACAGATCTGAAAGAACTGTCTTCCCAGAATATTCCAGATGATTTGCTTAGGTTTTTAATTGAAGGATATGTTGGATTGAGAAACCTTACCTGTACAGAGGTTAGCCAGGTCTACGAGATTTTTGAGAACTTAGTAAGGAGAAGTTGCTTTTGCTGCTGTTGTATATTAGGCTTCTCCTTCCACACAAAGCAATTCAACATAATATCAGCATTGCTGGCCATGGAAAGAATTGCTGTCACTCTTACAGGGATTAGAGAAAATGTCACCCAATTTGACACTCTATCACAGTGAGAAGTGGAAAGGCATTCATTCATTCATCCATTCATTCATTCAACCAGGAATTATTGAGCCTTTATTTTCTATATGCCATATATGACACTAGTGTCTAAGAAGGCAGAAATAATGGTCAGATGAAAAATAATAAAAAGATGGGTAAGGCAAGATTACTGGCTCTATGGCACTTAGGATCTAATTGTATAAGAAGATATGTATATAGTGAAGTAAGTTAGTAAGCAGAATGACATGCTAGTAAAAGCAAGGTAAAAGCAATGCAGAAAATAAGAAATATTAACATGTAAGCACTAGAAGAAAAAAATTAAACTATGAATTGCTACATTACTATCGAAATTCGGACACCTATATCTTACTTTTCCATTATACTTTATCAGGAGGAACAATATTATTGCTAGTTAAAATAATTTAACTTCTAGACTAAGATAATTCTGCTCATTTGTGCAAATAGAAATGTAAAAGATAAAGCAATTTATGACTGTCTTTAAATAATATTAAAAGTAAACAGTATGTTCTAGAGAGGAAAAATACAATTTTAAAGAATGGGAATTAAAGCTTGTCTCATTTTTTTCAAAGCTGAGTTTTGCACTGCTGTTTCTTATAAAATTGAGATCTATTTTTTTGTCTGTATCAGTTATGAACATTTTTCTGTATGTATTAATTACATACACTCAGACATATGTACAGTCAAACTGACAATATTCCCAGTAGGGGTGGTCATATATGATGCTCTTGGTGAGTTGAATATATTGGTGCAGGCCTCCTGAAGAATTATATCAAGCCAACCCTTTGACATTTTCCAAGTGGAGAGCACTTCACAGGGCATGTCACAATTAATTAGATGGGATGGCATTCTATTTTTGCAAAGGTTTTGTGTACTTCACTACACAAAGAACTAACTAGCTGATAATGAAAATGCCCTTCAAATAAGGGCTGAAGGTTGGAGACTAGCTGCACAGAGGAGGAAGAGTCAGTTTCTTATGCCTATATTTTTTTAAAGTTGAAAGTGATTAACAGCAACAATTCTTTAGCTGAAAAGACAATGAATAACTTTCAATACACAGGCCAGAAGAAAGACCACAAAAGGATGTCTAATCAAAATATACAATCAACTTACTAAGAGCAAGTTGTAAATATTGCCCCTTAACGTACCATCAAAAGTCAAACTTACCTGATCTACTATCCAGAGGTCCAAAATCCAAAGAATATTTCACGACGTGATAGTTATTCCATACATAAAGAAGGTTGTCCCTGGGATTGTAATCCACAGCTGCTATGTACTGGTATGAATTGGGAAAGGGTACATCCACCAAACTATCCTTACTTTGGTCGGTGTTGTAAATGTAGTCAATCTTATTCCCTGTGGCCTCGTTGTCATCATCCTCATATACAGATTTGACGACATACAGAATCCCACATATCATAAATGCGTTGGAAGCTGACCTTTTATCATATGCAGTATCCCATGTCCCTTCAATCCGTAGGGTGTAAGGGTTCAACTGACTAATGACAATTTTACCATTGTTTTGTTCTGTTGCATAGATTACCCATAGCCCATTCTCATCCACTGCCAGGTCTATGTCAGATTTGCCTCCCCAACGGTAAGGGGAGGTATCATGGTAATTGGCATTTGCTATGATAGCCTCTCCACTCTTTATCCTAGTCCGCAAATCAAATTTTACTATGTTCCTGGTGCGCTCTTTATTGAAGAACAAAGCTCCGTCATACACTACAAATCCTGTGCCATCCACCCTGTGAGGGAGCTTGTAGGTTGTAGTTGGCCTTCCAGCAATGAAGTCATCCTTGGATGAGTACTCAGTCAGGGTATCAGTTCTGTAGGGGGTCCAGGGCATATAATAAATCTTGTCAGAAGCCTGCAGAGGGTCTTTGCACCATGCCCCAGATTGGTGGTCGGACTCAAACAAATGTTCACTCTGGTATACTCCTTTTAGTAGTCCAGGACAAAGAAAAACTGTTGGAAGGGAAAG